GCTCGAGCCAAGGAAGGCTTGCTCGAGCCAACAACTCAAATGCTCGGTCGAGCGAAAGAAAGCTCGGTCGAGCGAAGAACTCATACCCTCAGGTCTGAACCCAGACACACGCTCGAGCGAAGGAACTATAGCTCGAGCGAAGGATGAACTAACTCGCTCGAGCGAAGAAAAGCTCGCTCGAGCCAAGAATGCTCAGCTACAGGTCCAAATCAAACACTACCTCTCGCTCGAGCGAACAACTCCTCGCTCGAGCGAAGAACCAAAAACCTGGACAGCAACTCTTGGTTTCTAAACCCAACCAACCTGAAACAAACCTGCCCAACACATCCTATAATTCCAAAAGAGAAAATAAGGAATAACAACAACAACCATATAAAATGACAAAATCTATGGAACAGTCCGGATACAATAATTAAATGGGAAAAGACCAGGGTCGCTATATTCCGCATCTTGAGGTTATCAAAATGTCTGGATTAAGTAATCTGAAACGTATTGGTCCTGAATTCTATGGTTGTCACAGTGTTGTTAATCATGATCAATGTAACGATGGCATCATCACTGGTAGCTATAGTGGGGCAGTAACAACAGCAACAACAAAAGCTATGGCCGTTGTATTTCCGGCACTAAGAAAACTTCGTCTGGAATATATGCCGAACATAGAAGAATGGTGTGGGCTTGGGGTATCATCATCTTCCTCGGACACCACGATGTTCTTTCCTCTGCTTGAGTTTGTACGCATTAGGGATTGCCCCGAGTTGACTACAATTCCAGGTCACTTGTTATCCTTGCAGGAATTGATTTGCGGTGATCACCCAGAAACGCATCGCCCTACACAGCGCCCTTACTTGAGAATAGCATCTAGGGGTTTGAAGATGGGTGTTTTACTGGTAGATTTCCTGGAAAAAAGCAGCAAAACCCTAAGAAAGATGACAGTAATTTCTTTGAAAGAGCTATGTTATTTACCAAAGGGGCTGTTTCAACAAACCCTTGTAACATTAGAGATAGAATATTGTCCGAATTTAATAATTGCTGATCCAGATGAATTATGCAGCCTCCCATCCCTTCAGAGCTTGTCGATTTTAGGATGTCCAAGATTGGCGGGTTGGGGGGAGGCGAGGCTATTTTGCCTGACCAGCCTTCAAACATTGAAGATAGGTTTCTTCTCAGAAGAGCTCGAATATTTCCCCTGGCCTTCCACCACCGTAAGTGCTGCATCTGCATCTGCTTCCAAATATCACCCAAACCCCAAACACTACCCCTTCATCTCCTTGGTGTCTCTGACTCTACTTGGCTGGAAAAGGCTCAAGTATCTGCCTGATCAACTTCAGCACCTCACTACCTTGAGAGACTTGTCAATTTCGCAGTTTCATGGACTCGAAGCTCTGCCGGAGTGGCTGGGTAACATTTCATCTCTTCATTCATTGGAACTTCACAGATGCGATGCGAATCTTCCCACCCAGGAAGCAATGCAACGCCTCACCAATTTACAATCTTTGAAAATATATAATTGTCCCCTTCTAGAGGAAAGATGCGCAAGGGGAAGCGGCCAAGAATGGCACAAGATTGCCCATATTCCATCCATCCACATCAGGCCCTATTAAAGGTAACTTATATATTTCTCCAATTGTTATCCATATTCATGATTTCTTCTCCTCTCTTCTCACCCCCATCCCATCCCCCACCTTCCCAATGGTGTTTGATTGTTTCCTTTTATCTCACAACCCCTTTTTGGGTTTCAGATCACGAGATGAATGATGAATCTTCCCCTACAAATGATGAATATTCTTCTTCAAGATGAACCATTAGATAGTCTACTGCCAATTATGTAATTTCCTTGTTAACTTCTCTCTCTCTCTCTCTCTCTCTATCTCTAAATTCATCAGTTTTATTAATCTAGCTTTTTTATATGTATTATACATTTTATTTGGTCTCTAGTGTACGCTTTGCCAAATCATGAGTATGTAATGGTTCATAACACAATAACAACTCATTCAGCACATGCTTTTGCTTTTGCTTTCAGTTTTTTGAAAACTATTTTATAGACAAGGCTCCAAAATGTAACACAAGCAGTGTATTCAATGGTTTCCAAAACAAGTGCAATCACACCAACGAACATTTAAACAAAAGCTCATTACCACTTTAAATTCTCTTGGGAAAAACAATAATATGTTTCCTGTTCTCTACAAAACAAAAAAACATGCAACCAAATGACCACTAAGTCTCTTGCAACTTAGAAGTTGAGTTAAAGATCCAAACTTAGAAGTTGAGTTAAACCAGATTTCCCTTGAAAAAATATATATATATATATATATGATAACATAATTTCAAGTTATTTTTGGTGCTTACCTCTTGTGCTGCTTAGGTGGCTCCTTCTCAGACTTCTTTTGAATGGAATCTGCGTGGATGGCAGCATGAACTTTCTTGTACAGCTCCTCAATGCCATCAGGCTCAATTCCTCTCTTGATATACTCAACAAAATGAGACTGATACTTGTCTGGTTCATCTTCCATCAAAATCTAAGTAACAACCAATAAAATCAAGTTCATGGCTGAAAAATAAGTGTTACAAGAGGCATAAATTCACATCTTAACCCTTACCTTCATATATGCAGCGACATGCCCGCCATAAATATACTTGCGGTGAACCTCAGCATCCAGGTGCTTAGATTCGTTCAAGAAACCAGAAAATCTCTTATCACTGTGAGGGATATCCAACCCGCCATCCAATGCTACCTGCAATGAAAGTATAGCAGAGACATGAAATTTCATACAGGGACAAATAATTATAGCAAAGCAGGGAACATATAGACAGTGATGCAATAGCATGAATATTGCCAAAAGATCAAAGACAACTAGGCATGACAAATTGAAAAAAAAGAAACCAGACAAAGTTGTGAAGTTCAACATCCCTTAATTCATTCATGACTTGAAACATACATGCAGTTGAGGAACCCTGAGTCCTGGGGCATCTCATAAAATCATTTTTTTTTGAGAAAAGCCAAAAACTTGCATGACTGCTTTGCTGTGATGCTAGATTCACATCCCTAACTAAATAGGAATAGTTAAAAAATTGGCAGATGGCTACTATTGTGAACAACATTTTATGGTGCCATGAACCATTTTAGTTCCATTAGTAGAATGGATGCTCCCATTATTCCACAGCATAACTTGCTGGTTGGAAAAGGATGTTCAAATTGACAAGAAAAAAGCCTTCTTTGAACTGTTGGATTATATTAACAATTTAGGAATAAATAACAAACACAAAAATGACAAGGAGTGCTCTGAATATTATCTAGATGTATCAAAACTTGCCCCAACAGCCTTTCTATCAGTTCTATTCAACAATACAAAAACACTGAAGACACAAGGATGTCCATGATTTAATTAATTTTGGCTCTATTAAGTAGAAATTTCTAACTAAAACAAGTCTACAGCATAAGATTCGATTTCCTTTTCTTCCCATTTTCAGCATTTGCTAAGCAACCAAACATAGGCAGAATCAAAACATATGATCAGACCAACCTGGGGCATAAAACTCAAAATTTGCTCTAACCTTAGCTGATTTTCATTCTCAAGAACTAAAACAAACGAAAAGCATGCAATACAAAAACACTGAAGACCCAAGGATGTCCATGATTTAATTAATTTTGGCTCTATTAAGTAGAAATTTCTAACTAAAACAAGTCTACAGCATAAGATTCGATTTCCTTTTCTTCCCATTTTCAGCATTTGCTAAGCAACCAAACATAGGCAAAATCAAAACATATGATCAAACCAACCTGGGCCATAAAACTCAAAATTTGCTCTAACTTTAGCTGATTTTCATTCTCAAGAACTAAAACAAATGTAAAGCATGAAATAGAATTTCTTTTCCGGCATTTTCTCAACAACAAAACATAGGCAAAAACTATAAATATTATAAGAAAAAAGTATAGCATAAAACTGTCATCTTAATTTTCATTCAAAGGGACTACAAACAGAGCTAAAGAATAAAACTCAATTTCTTCAGTTCTCTTTTTTGACAATTTATAAGCAGATAAACAGAGGCAAAATGGAGAAATATGTCAGACAAAACAAAAACATGCTGAATTTTCAGGCTTAGGAAAAAAAAATGAAATGAAGAAATAAAATTGAATTGCATTCACGGAATGATATAAATCATCAAATTTGAATATTGCAAGGGTCATCCGTCGATCCAAACCCTAGGAGCAGGTTCAAATCACAAAATAAGAATAAACGAAGGAAGATAGAAACAGAGAGAGTACCTTCTAAAAGAGAGTACCTTGAACTCGATCGAAACCCTAGGTGTAGATTCAAACCTGAAAACAAGAAGAAACAGAGAAAGAAACTTGAGAGAGAGAAAGAGCATACCTTCAATGATCGAGTTCGAAAGAATCGAGAAAAGTTAATTGTGTTTTTAGAATATATATATATATATATATAAGAAACAAAGAGAGCACAAGATTGAGAAGAACATTGAGAGAGAGAGAGAGAGAGAGAGAGAACGAGACAGAGGGAGAGAGAGAGAGAGAGTGAGATCGAAAGAAGAGAGAGAGTGAGAGAACGAGATTGAGAGATTCATACCAATGTGAGATTGAGAGATTCATACCAATGTGAGACCGAGAGAGAGACAGTGAGACCACATACGAGAGAGAATGATAAGTGTTTGTGAAGGGCTAAGGGCTAGGCAAATATAAGGAAAAGAAAAAAAAATAAAAGAAAATAAAGGATAAATTGATTATTTGCGACTGATAATCAGGTGGTCGCAAATTATATGGTAGCAAAAGGTGATTTTTCTAGTAGTGTACACAATTAATAAAGTCAAAACTAAAATAAAGTAATAATAATAAATAATGATTTACGAAAAATTAGGGTCTCTACAATATATACACCTCAAAAGAATCTCGTCTCGAGATTCGATAGGAAAGAGTACTAAACAAAAAGCTCCGGGTGCATACGCCGAACTTTCTCTTCCAATTCTCAAGTGATATCACTCTCATCCTCGCTTCGTTACACTTTAACCAAGTTCACTTTCTTACGCCGCAATTGCTTTACATCTCGATCTAGAATAGTAACGGGTCGCATAACATACGTTAGATCGTCACTAATCTCCAACACTTCTGGTGATACTACTTGGGAAGGGTCTTACACACATTTCCGCAATAAAGATATATAGAATACATTGTGAATCATAGCTAAAGTAGATGGTAGGGCTAATTTGTAAGCCATATTACGAATCTTCTTAGTGATCTTGTATGGTCCCACAAATCTAAGTGCCAACTTTCCCTTCTTTCCAAACCGCATGATACCCTTCATCAGTGAGACCTTTAAAAACATAAAATCTCTAACATTTAACTCAACCCCTTTACGTTTTCTATCAGCGTAACTCTTCTGACGACTCTGTGCAGTCTTAATACACTCTTGAATAATGTTCACCTTCTCTATGGTCTCTCTTACCAATTTTAGCCCTAGTAACAGTGCATCTCCTATCTCCATCCAATAAGCAGGTGATTGACATGACCTTTCATGCAAAGCCTCAAAAGGTGCCATCCCAATATTGGAGTGATAACAATTATTATAAGCAAACTCCACCAATGGAAAGTGTTCTTCCCAACTACCACCAAGATCGAGAACACAAGCTCTCAACATATCCTCCAAGATCTGATTTACCCACTCAGTTTGCCCATCCGTCTGAGGATGATAAGCCGTGCTCAGGTCTAACCTAGCACCCAAAGTATGTTGAAAACTCTCCCAAAACTCTACCATAAACAATGGATCACGATCCGAAACTATAGAAACTGGTGTGCCATGAAGTCGTACTACCTCCTGAATATACAACCTAACCAGTTTATCCGTAGTTCAGTGAACACTGATAAAAATAAAATGAGCAGACATGGTGAGTCAATCCACTATCACCCAAATAGATTCATTGCCTCGCTTAGACCACGACAATCTATCCACGCTGTCCATAGAAGTAGGGATCTCGAGAGGTTGCAAAAGTCCAAACGGTCGTTGGTGTTTTGCCTTAACCTATTGGTACACATAACATTGAGAAATATACTCTTCTACGACCTTCTACCTTCCCACCAAAACGTCTTCTTCAGATCATGATACATCTTAGTCTCACCAGGGTGAATGGTATATAGAGACCTATGGGCATCATCTATAATCTCTTTCCTCAATTCAACAATGTTAGGTACACACAACCTGCCCCTGAATCGCAATACCCCATCTAAGTCCACAGACTAATTAGTAGGATAATCATCGATCAAATCCACTACAAGGTCATCGAGCTTGCTGACAAGAAACCTATCTAAATATTGCATCTGACGAACTTTACCCAGTAACGTCGGCTACACAGTCAAACTACCAATGTATGCCCTCTCGACACTCTCTATTGGTTGAACATCATGCATCGAAATTAATTTCAAGGACTTCCATTCCTGAATCATCAAAGAAGTAATAATCCCATGTTGTCGACTAAGTACATCTGCAACCACATTTCGTTTTCCCAAGTGGTAAAGGATCTCGAAAACATAACTACTGATGAATTTAACCCACCTCTGTTGCCTCATGTTCAACTCTTTTGAGAAAAAATATATTTGAGACTCTTGTGATCTGTGTATAACTCAAAACGCTCCCCAAACAAATAGTGTCGCCACACTTTCAACACAAAAACAACTACTGCCAACTCTAAGTCATGAGTAGGATATCGTCTATCATGAGGTTTTAACTACCGTGAGGCATAAGATACAACCTTCTGATGCTGCATCAACACACATCCCAAACCAGTTTCGCTCGCATCAGAAAACACCACTAATTTTTCCCCTTATACTGGTATGGTTAACACCGGAGTTGTAGTTAACTGCTGCTTTAACTCCTGAAAAGCTCTCTCACAATCATCTGTCCATAAGAACTTCACATTCTTGTTGGTCAACTTGGTCATAGATGCTACAATAGTGGAAAACTTCCCTATAAATCTCCTATAATAACTAGCTAGTCCTAAAAAACTCTTCACCTCTGAAAGGTTCGTGGATTGCTTCCATTCTTTGACTGCAATAACTTTCTTGAGATCTACCGCTATCTCCTAATTGGATACAACATGTCTTAAAAACCGAACTTCTTTCTCCCAAAAGTAACACTTACTAAACTTAGCGTATAACTAATGCTTCCTCAAAGTCTGCAACACGACTTTCAAGTGTTCTCTGTGCTCTTTCTCATTCTTAGAATACACCAGGATATCATCTATGAAGATAATCACAAACTTATCTAGACACAGTTAAAAAATTATGTTCATCAAGTCCATGAAATAGGCAGGAGTATTTGTCCAATCAAAAGGAATTACAGGAAACTCATACAACTCATATCGAGTCTGAAAAACAGTAAGCGGTATACTTTCCTCTGACACACCCATCTGATGGTAACCCGTTCTGAGATCAAACTGAGAGAACATGGCTGCCCTCTTCAACTAATCAAACAAGTCATCAATTCTAGGTAGCGAATACTTGTTCTTGATAGTCACTTTGTTCAGTTCTCTATAATCTATGCACATGCGGAGAGTGCCATCTTTCTTGGATACAAAGGTCGCGGGTGCTCCCCACGGGGAGTTACTTGAACGTATAAACCCTTTCTAAAGCATCTCTTCCAGCTGCTTCTTTATCTCCACAAGCTCTTTAGGCGCCATTCCGTACGCTACCTTAGAAATTGGTGCAGTTCCTAGCATTAAGTCAATGTGAAATTCTATTACCCGTCAAGGTGGAGGTCTAGGTATCTCTTGAAATGCATCCTCAAACTCACGTACCACATCTACCTCACTAATATCCTGCTTAGGGATTTCTACCGAGCACAAAAAACTCGTCATTACCGACTCTTCTCCATCGCTAGAAGTGTAGGTAAGCTGTGGCATACCGGGAATATCTATATTTACAGTCTTTCCAGCACAATCTAGAGTCATAAAGTGATTTTGTCGCCAATCCATACCCAAAATAATTATAAACCCCTCAAACCCTAACACAATTAGGTCCGCATATAAGACTTTGCCCGCAAAATCAATCTCAAAATTTTTATACATCTCATAAAGAGTAACTGACCTCCCAAAGGGGTCTCAACACGAATAGGTCTAGACAATGAGGTAGATACAAGATGTTCTCTTTCTACAACTGTCTAGATATAAAAGAATGAGAGGCACCAGTATCAAAAAGTACTCTAATGGGTTTTTGAAAAAGATTAAAAGTACCTTGCACTTTGTCATTTCCTGGCATGACTGCAAATGCCCTGGCTGGAGCTGTTAGGCCCTAGCTGGAGCTGTTAGACCCTGTTGCGCTTGCTGTTTCTGAGGGCAATCCTTGACTATATATCCCAATTGTTGACACCCAAAGCACTTCATATTCATTGGTTGAGGCGCTACTACTCTGATAGGTGGGGGCCCCTCCAACTGAGGTACGGTAGGACGATAACCTAACTGTGGCACTTGTTGCTGTTGTCCTTGATACTCTTGAGGGCATAGACTACCCTGTCTTTGATAATAGTGCCCCTGGGGCTGGAAATTGCCCTAAGACCTAAAATTACTCTGAGGTCTAAAATTTCCCTGACTACCTTGTTGCTATGACCTCTGAAACTGCTAACCCCTATGCCTTTGATCGTAGGGTCAGTATTTGTTCCCATCACGTTGCTGGAAGTGACTCTCTTTAGAAGTCTCTCCGACCTTGGCCTTCCCTTCTTTAAACTGCTTTTTATTTTTCTCATACTTTAGTGCCAAGTCAAGAACTCTGTCAAACGGTTCAACATCAAAGGGAATAAGGGACTTAGGCAGGTAATGATTTAATCCTTTAATAAATTTCTCATTCTTCTTCTGCTACGTATCAACCAAGTAAGGGGCATAACGAGACAACTCATTAAACTTGGTGACATACTCGATCACTGTTCTATACTCTTGAGTCAACTTCGAAAATTCATCACTCAGTTGAGACCGAATAGTAGCAGGAACAAACTTTCGGTCAAAACGGGTCTTGAAATCTGCCCAAGTCAAAGTCGTCAAATCTAGACCATCCTTCCACTAGTTCCACCAAAATAGGGCTGCTCCCTCAAGCTGATGTGTAGCCCAACTCTTGTTTTTGGACCTTGGTGAACTGCATCCGAATGGGTCCTCCATCTCTAGAGAATTTTTAACCTCCTAAAGAACTAAAGCCTTTGTTTCTCTTCGCAAAAGAATCTTCCTGTTGGCCTTGATTATTGTTCTGCACAACCTGAAGTAATTGAGTCATTATCTTCCCCACATTAACCTGCATAGTATTGGTTGCCCCGATAGTAGCCGTTGCCACCGCCGCCGCGTTAGCAATTGTTTCTTCCCATGTGCCATTGGGTTCAGCATTTCTCAAATTATACCTTCCAACCACCACCTTCAAGTTAAATACACAAAAAGAATTCGTTCAAAAATACTTTGAATAAACTCAACCACTAAACTAAACCAGCTAACCCATGTTTCCACAATCTGAGGATCACCTAAACTCTCAAAAGTCTAGGGTAACCTAGAGCTTTGATACCAAACTGTCACGTCCCAAAATTTAGACAATTAAATATTAAATTAGGGCTAAACCCCAATCACTATTCCATTATCCAAATCCTAAGGGTGAAACAAATCTAAACGTTCTTGTCTCCATAAGGTTTAAGTAAATCTCCATACTTAAAAGATTACAAGGGATAAAAAAAAAAACTAACAAAACCCCAACCAAATCATTCACCATAAATTCATAATTATCCAATACCTCCAATACTAAAGTAACAATAAATAGTCAAAACAACTTAAATAATGTAAAGTTACAAACCATGCCAAATTATCAAAATACTAAGGTCATAAAAAAAATAATAAATACATAAACTAATATCAACCTTAAGCTCAAAAAAACAAAAGAAATCCAAACGACATATCCAACAACTATAGTTATTTCTCGTTACCACCGTAGCCCCAACTAATCCTATAAAGGAAGCATGGCTGCGCTCAAATAGAACACACCCGAGATGCCAAAAGATAAAACGGGTCAGTATACAAATATACTGGTATGAATACAAATATTTGACACCCACATGTCCACCAGACACAAATAAAAATACATTTAATTCTTATTATGAGACAAGACAAGTAGTTTCACCCGCACCGAGACGAAGGGGTAGTTTCCCGAGATACCGTGACATTTAGTTTCTTACCTATACACAACTAAATATAAATTGAGTATAAAAGTAGTGTTCGCATCTATTGAACTGTAACACAAAAGTAAACCTTGTTTGTCGAGGCTTTATATAGGGGGAGGTCACACCAGCTGGGGGGGGCGCTATATATAATATTACTAGCGCCCCCTCTGTTGAAATTGTACCCATTAGGCAATTTTATCCGTTGACGGACGTATGGCTAGTGACGTGTAAGGCGGAGATTAAATCCGTACTCACACCAAATAGTAATCACTATTTGGTGTGAGTAGCCGGGGCTTGGTATGAGTAGGCGTGGCCATCTCCTGTTGTAGACACCCCATTTTTGACCGACCTTAAGACTTAGA